CTAGTAATAGTGGATCAGTACTACTACTACTACACTAGCCTACTACTAGTAGTCGTAGTACTATGACTACAGGATCAACACTTCTCCTTCTTCCTTGTTTACATTTTTGTACGTAATACTAGTAATACATCTCAACAAACTGCAACCAAATTTTAAATTTTCTTGCTTTCTCTTTTTGACTCTCCAAGAATGATGTGTTAGACTAGTACTAGTCAACTGACAGCAGTACAAGAACAACAACAAGAAGAAGCAACAAGAAGTACTAGCAAGTACTAGGTACTAAATTTTAACCATCATAGTACTAGTACTATCAACAAGAACACAGTATCTTGGGGCTTTCAATTTCATCTGTACAACAACATTATTCTTGCTAGTAGTAGTAAAATAGGACAATAAGTATCTTCAGCATCTAGTACAACTAGTARTAGTAGTAGTAAGTTTGATAAGTGAATGGGATACTTGAGATGTTCTCTGAAGGGTGCCATAAATTGAGAGCAGAGTAATTGGGCAAGCTGCTATCAGCGCATGTTATATGCCTCTTCTTGATCAGTGAGCCTTCTTTGAGACTAACATTCATTGTCTTGTCAGATTCCTCATCTTTGTCTTCACCTTTGATTGCACTTTGGACATCCTAGAGTTTGTTTGAAGAAATGGAAGCATTCAGAACACAAACTTTTGAGTTAATTCCAAGTGCATGAGGACAGTTACAGTGCCAAAGACAATTTTGGTACTTGCAGAAGTAAAATATCCACATAGCTTGTTGTGTTGCTCTGTGTTGCCTTTGAAAAAGCAACAGCAAACTTTAATCTCACATTCCAAAGTTCACCGTCCCATGGACAATTGTGCCATGAAATATCATTCTATGATTCACAAATTGCTCAGAAGGAAGCGAGATTAAACCACTGTGAAGATTGTTTACATTGTCAACCGRCTGATTGCTTCTTCCTCAAGGATGAAAATAAAGAGTCTCCCAAGCATTGGGTCTGTTGGAGTGGGTGAGATCACTGAATATACCAAGAGTCATATTCCATGGAAAAGGGGTTGTACTTTGGTGCCTATCTATAGCAATGTTGTCCATGTAGAATATAATGGGAACCAATATTTCATCTTTATTGGGATCACACTTTGTTTTCCAAGCTTCCACCTACCATTCCCTGTGGTGGAGTTTGCAGATAAGGGAGTCTGCTGTCAGTTCTGGAATCTGGCACAGTGAAGTGGGGTTCTTCTGATTGGGAAACAATAAATTTTCTTCTTTGACGAATGAAACATTGGTTAAAAGAGATTGCAATGTACATCTGAAGGACCTTACATAGATTAGTTTGTCACTGACATCGTTGCTAGAACGCCATTCAATAAGCTGCACTACAAAACCATACCTGTGTAGTTCAGGGGCTGCTTTGTACTAGCATTCTTTTGATASAACAGATTGGCACGTTTTGATCAGACTGCTTCCAGTACTTCAGGTGAAACCAGCCAACCTCTCCAATTTGATAGCCCATTGATATAGCTCCCTTTCAGCAACTAATGGTATGTTGTGGTCTCTCATAATCTTCATTACCTTTATATTTACTACCTTTGTCAAGGGTGGTAACAACCTTTTTTCAACAGGTGTTTTGATTACACCCTCAACAAGAACAGAGTTGAGGCTTTCTTCCAACTGAATGTGTTCATCAAAAACACTATTGTCAAGATCAGAATCAACAGATTCCATTGCATATTCCATTGCAGACTCTATTAACACACTAACAATTTCTTCAACTGAAGGGTTATACATCACTTGGTCATCAAGATTCTAAACATGTTCTGGCAAAACAGAGTTGTGAAAGATTTTTGCAGATTTTTATTCCAAAAGGAAAAACTAACAGTGGACATTGAAACTTCCATGGTATCAACCACACAAAATGCGCAATACCATGGATCTGATTTGTGTGACGCAGCAGCTTAGAACTAGTCCACCAAAATTAGACTACTAGTGGTTGGCCAAATTTGCCTGTTAATTTTAGCTGCAATTCTCTTCTGAACTAACTAGTACTAGCTATCTGCTAGAAAATTAAATGCAGTGGTGAAACATGACATCCCTTTGGGCAGACAAAAACAACAGAGAGTTTTTGAGAATCACCTATGGAAACAATATCTTGTTGGTGCTTCAAAGATTTTGTTTTTTCTCTATCTAGTACTGTATCATGATATTTCTGTGGGATCCCAGTTTGGACCAGTCATGTCTGCTTCACTCCAGCCATCAGTTCTACCGAGCTTTCCGGCTTTGTAGTTGAGATTCAGCCCATCCAAAATCTTCATCTCCTCGGGTGTTAGCATCGCATCCTCGATCCCACCCGGACTGATTGGAATCTTGCCGTTCCTAAGTACCAGTCCCCCACCATACGAGTTTTCTGCAATTGCCACTCGTTCAAGTTTTGAACCCGAACCGGATCTTGGCACACAAATATATCCCTTTTGGAGCGCCCAGCGGACCATAACCTGGGCYTTGGTAAGCCTCTTGTTCATCGCGACACGGGACAAAACATCCCATTGTTCGCTCGGACCGTTGGCACCCGACAACTTCGACCACGCGGCACACGAAACTGCTATTCCATTTTTGCCGCAGAAATCAACCACGTCCGAATGTGTATGGAAGGGGCTCAGTTCCAGCTGATTGACAGCCGGCAAGGGTAGGCCTGCTGCAGCTATTTCCTTCAGTGGTCCTACACCGTAGTTGCAAACACCAACGGATCTAATCAAGGGAGACAACGAATCCCCTCCTTGTTGTAGATTGATAAGGGCCTTATAAGTAGCTAGACGCGTTTCCGAGCTTGTCAAAGGTGAGTGTATCGAAACCATATCCAGGTAGTCGACCCCCAACGCGTCTATTGCAATCGAGATGGCCTGTCGAATCTTGTCCGGGTCTGTAGATTGTTCCTYGTTTGATAGTTTGTGTGATATAAATAGGTTTTCTCGACGGCGTCTTGCGTTTTCTTTTCTCTTCCTTCCGTACTCGAGCTCCATTCGAGTTGTTTGGTACCGATGTGCCTCGTCCAATAGGTCGAGGAGTTCTGGCTTTTCATCCACCGCCAATTTCTTTCGACCGCTCTTCAGATATGTTCGAATTGTTTTTCCAATCTCGGCATTCGACTCGTATTGCGTGGCAAGATCCAAGTGTGTGGTGCCCGATCGCAAGGCCAATGCGGCRCATCRTTCGGCTTTGTCGGGTGCCGTCTTGTAAAATGAGTAGCCCACCCTCGGGATGTTAAGGATCTTTGTTCCAGGCGATGCCGATGGCGTTGGCGCCGAAGTCGCTGGGATTGGAACCGAGAGAATTGGTGGGGGATTCTCTGTTGGAACGATCGGACTAATGGTGCTTGGCAAGGGTTCTCCGACAGCTTTCGCATCCGAAGGCTTTACCGCTAAGACAGCAGCGCCAGCCGTCGCGGCGGCAACTTGTGCTATGGCATCTCTTCGTCCCAGCTCGGGAGGACTGAGGGACTCACTTGGACCTGTCATTAGTAGCATGAGGTAGAGAGGAGCGAGAAGAAAGCCGTTGGATAGAATCATCGTGTCGCTCGTTTCTGACCTCCAGAAATAGATACTAGGGATTTCGTAGTTTGTTGGGATGGCACAGCCCGAGATTCCAATTCAAGATCGGTCAACGATTTAAAAAGATGATACAATAATGATGGATASTTACAAGCTACGTAGTTTACCATACCGGTACGTGCTTCCGTTCGATCGATGCGACGCTTTGCGTTCCGAACGGTAGGGTACGTGACTACTTCTAGTATTTTACCTTACGAAGGCGGTGGGAGTTGGGAGTTCAGGATTCAAGACTGAACGTGACTCACTTTGGTGTGACTCACTTTTTGCGATCTTCCGCACACTTAAAATTCTCGGAAAAAAAATACGGTGACGACGATGGCTCTCTTGACGAATTTCGAAAACTCACCGACTTCACACCGACAGCTTCTTGCTTGTTGCAATTCCAACCGGTTGGCCGATTGCCCCACGGCATCGCTTCTCGCAAGGCCGTTCGTTCCTGCACCTCCTCTTTTGTACGTCTACCCGTTGCTGCAATGAAATCCGAACCGATCCTGCTGGCACTATTCCTTTTCAGTGGTTTGAACGAAACATGCATGTCTCAATCTCGACACACCAACAATAAGAGCGACAGGAATGCGATCAGCAGCAACCCGCCTCCACCGGAACCTCTAGGTGACGGGAGAAGCGGCGATACCAAAGATCDCTCTTCGGGAGTAAAAGGCATCAGCAGCCGCCAAGTCGCACCGTTCGACACGGACATACGGGATGATTGCCGCGATCTCCTGGAGTTCTGCCAGTCGCACKTATTCAAGCACGTCTATTTGCAATGCCCCGGTCTGTGCACGAACTATCTTAGCGAGGAGGGGATGATTGGAACGGCCCACGGCAATACAGATGTTTTGTACGAAGCCGGATCGCTGCGTACCTACTTCAACGATGGGACGGGAACCGTCGATGCAGATCGGTTCGAGGGCTACGTCGTAGTCTTTGCAGTCGTTCCGCTCTTGCCGGGAATGGCAACTTATTACCAGAGCATGATGGAGCACTTGCACGGCATCTTCGATCCCAAYGTAGAATTTGTGATTCTACCGATCGATCTCGAATTCCAAGACGAATTTCTCTTGTCTCGAGACAAGGAACGCGGAAAAGTTCTTGTGTTGGAGAAACAATCTGCACATAGCGTTACGGATACGCATCCCTGGGTGAAGCATCTCAGTGCGATCAGGCCAAAGAGTGGCTTGGGCACCAAAGAATTCGGGRATGGCGTTAATATAGAACAGCGGCCGCTCCAAACCGATCGCGTTTCGGTCTACATCGTTAGCGCGGATGGATACTATGTCGAGCAATTGATAGCACCGAGCATGAAAAAGCTCAGAGAACGTATCCGCATCTACTCGAAAAGTATTGATTACGAGCTGTAATGTGTTCCGTGTCATCCAATTATCGACTCTCCACGAATTGCAGAAAAGAAGGGTACTATATGTGTCTATTACCGGAGAATCAGTCGTCAGGGGGAAAAAAAACACGAACGACACACACGATGCACAGATCCAACTTGAAACTTATTAAGTTGTTTATAGCAGGGAAGAAACAGAAATAATCCGGCGATTCCTTGGCAACCGACTTTGTCCATTTCAATCATTATTGCGCTTCTTGAGCGACAGCTTGAGATTGCTGTTGGAGGAGCATGGGACCACCGTTTCGGAACATGTGATAGACAACACTAGCTTGACGGTGACGACAGTCATGTGTCGGACGTGCATCTCTTTGTCCRTTCTCGAGCAAAACGGACGAGCGGAGCAGTGATCTCTTTCTTTCCCCTCCAATCATATCACTTTCCGTATGGTCGTCCCCGTCGCCGATTGCCAAGGCTTGTTCCAGCAAAAGCGGCCACAAGCTTCTAGGGAAGAGATCGTTGTTACARAATATGGCGCGCCGCTTGGCTCGGTTGACGTCCAAAAAMAACTGTACTGATTTGTCCCAGTTGAAAACGTCRATGCATTCGAGAACCACACGGTTGGTTTGGAGCCCACGAAGGATGGCGTCCCGGATGCTTCGATGCACGACGCACCGGATTCCCTGACGCAACTTTATGGTTTTCAGCGAGTGAAGTGAGGATCGCAGGTGAACGGACAGAATCGATCCAATGGCCCTCGGGGTAAGCCTATTGAAACGAAGATCCAGGTATCCCAAGCTATCTGCATGATTGGGGTGTGAGCACAAAACATTCATGATCCGCAGCAATTCCGAATTCTTCAGGTTGCAGCCCCTCACAACTAATCGTTTCAATCGATTTGTATTTCTTATCAYCGAAACAATCAGGCTCGCAATCGAAGAAGGGATKGTGGCCGTTGATGGYGTTGCTCTTGGTTGTGATTCCGGGCGTGCCTGCGTTGAAGTTGGTAATGATATCGACCGATTATCCTCCTGCCTGTTAGGTGCTTCATTGTCGTGTATGTCTACGAAATCCAGTTCTTCGATGTTTGCAAAGTTCAGCGATGCCAACAAGACCTCCAGAACCGAARGACTGCAGTTGCAAATCCTTATTYTCTTCCACGACGGGCCTTGTCCCTCGACCACGTCTTTGAACGCAGCGAAAAGCTGTGATGGAGAATCCTCACAACGTCCGTTGTCTCCTGGTGCATCGTTGGAGCGACTTCGAGGGAATTCTTGAATATTTTTCAAGTATATCGAGGTGCAATTGTGTCCCATCGAGCCATGTAAATTGGATTGCATCTCGTTAAAAATTGCATCCACTTTGTCGCCTCCGTCTATTCGAAGTTCACTTTCCAGTGTTGCAGTTGTTGTTGGTGTTCTTAGGTTGTTTCCAAATCTCGTTCTCTTCTTTTTCGGAATGGCACTGCGTGGTTCGTTGCTATGGGTGGATCTTCCGAAACAGTTTGTCGCCCGGGATTGCAATGGTGGACRCTGGACATACGTAGCCATCAAACCAGAGCASCGATTCCCCGACCCTTCGACGACAACCGATTTGGGAGTCACCGTTGCCGGCTGCAATGGTTGCTGAACAAACGCAGCGATGGGCATGGAAGAATACTCATTGCCACCACGGCGTCGTGTTTCCATCGTTCCTGTCCGACGGAGTCCGTGGAACAGGATTACGTTCTGTCTAGCTTCCCCCGTGCGAGATGGCGGATCGTTCGAAGTCATGTTTCTACAAGTAGCGGGTTGTGGAAGAACAGCTCGGCATGGACTCTATGCTTCACAGTACTGCTCCGGAGGCATATCTGCAGCTGACGGTGCGGTATCCGCTTTTTCTTTTGAAACATCAACTCTCGCCAACACGACGTACATATAGGGTACTACCTTGCACCTTCCTGCCGATAGGCWTACGGTACAATAATGGTCTAATTGTTCGGGTTTCGTAGTCTCCAATCACACATGCTGAACTGGCCGGTGGGCGTTCTTGTTCCTTGTACGATCGGATGGCATCGTGGCCAAAAAAGGACTGTGCCGATACGGATAACAAACGGGTGCGCCAAAATGCCTCTCACAGGATTG